TTTTCCTTGGTCTATCTCGGGTTTCTTTACCGTTAGCTTTCATTCCAGCACTGCTTTATTAATATCATCCTCATTTCGCAGCCACACGTTGCAAGCCGTTTTTATTTTTGATCCTTTGTCCTCCTATGAAGATTACTACTAAAACCATGTTTATTTCTTCCTATAACACCCTGTTATATTTTCTTCTCTATGTTCCTTTTTCATCATCATATACCGGTCGTACTAAACATAATAAATAATTTTCCTTCCAAATTGTCATGATTTAGTTTCAAGTGTAAAACAGGTTTCAGTTTTATGATTTAGTTTTGTCCCAAGTTTATGTACCTAATCATACCACAATATCCGTATTGAGTTTAAACATCATCGGTGTACTGTATTGAATTATACTACTTTAATGAGCTCCATTTCATAGTATCATGATTGGGAATAATATAAACTATTATATTCCTAAATCATATTATTTGTCTATAAAATAAATTCTTTACATTTATGAATATTAAATAATGTATTATTTATATAATAATAACTATGGCCAATCAAGAAGTCTGTGCGAAACTGCTCTGTTATAGTCTTTGCATTCCTTGATATTGTGACTGCACCTCTACACGTCACTGAAAACTGACCATTGCCCACTTAGTTTAAAACAATCTCGGCATAAATAAAATTAGTTTACTATCGATATCAATAAAGCTCATTATAAGTATCATATAATATAGATGGGGCATCTGAAACGAAATAATACTCAGATAACCCAACCTAACCTAACAGAATAATGATCTTTTTCTGTATTATATAGGTACTATAAATAATGTTATTATAATTTATAAAAAATTATAAAGAAACCTATTATTAATATTCTCTTTTTTTTTTTTTCTAGAACAAACATCTCAAAAATAACTACGTAGGTTGTTTTTTTAAATATTTCATAGTCATTATATATTGTGTTTGTTGATATAAAGTTTCTCAACAAATGTGAAAAAGCGAAAAAAAAAACTGAGGAAAAGAGGGAAAATGTATGAAATATAGGTATTAGCTAAAAATATTATGGCCTTCTTTTTTCTTGTGGGCAACTTTTCTGTCAGCAATTTTCCGACAACTTATAATGATAAAGAAGGATAAATCCTAAAAGAAAATTTCAATGGAAAGATACTTAAAATAAATTTTTTTCCAATTTTCTCAGAAGTTCCCAATAAATGTAAAAAACCGAAAAAAACGGAGGAATACCAGAAAAACGGGATCCATTTTAATTTTTAAATTGGAATAATCGGAATTTTACCATAATATTACATATTATTGTTGACAAAGCAGCACGCCTAGGCTACTGAAAATTGGTATAACATTAAACAAATATTAAATAAAACGTTTTTTTTTTTTTCGAATCGTTTTTTCGTTAGCAATGGTTTATCATTGCTTACAGGTGTACATTAAATTTCTTAAAACGGTGGCTGCGCCCGTCCCTATTATCCTAGGGCGTCTTTTTATTATATTCTTCGCCTAATAATTAACATAAAAATACAATTTTAAATAACATAAAAGAATATCTACTAATTATTTAATACTTTTTATAATAGATGGCATTCTATAGGCAACAATTGTATCTTTGATCGTGGTACCTTAAGCAAGTATACTTTAATTTGATTCATTAAATAGACAAAAGGTTTTAGAAGTTTAAATACAAATAAATTATTGCACAAATTAATCATATGTTTTCGCTTTTTTTGTACCTACTGATGATTTTGTAAAACTATAACCTGTGGTAAACACACACAACATTATACAATATTCTAGCCTTTTATAATGATATTTTAGATTTTTTTATTTAGACAAAATGTATATGTTGTATATATAATATTATCATAACCCTCATAACGTTAACATTATTTAACAGTGGTGTATATAGAAAGAGGCGCAGTGGGCCATAGAACCTCCAGAAATTTCTTTCAAGCACTTTTAAAATTAACAGGAATGTGACATTTTTTTCCGTAAATCGTCTAAAACAAGTTAATCCTTTCCTATATAATATGTTTCAAAGTGAATACTGATCAGTGATTACCCTGTTTAGTAAAATATTTTTTAAAGCCAGAGTTTTGAATATCATTTAATATCATAATAATAAAGGTTTTACTCACGGTTATCTAGATAAAGATAGATATCTAGATAGCAGATTGATGTAAATGGCACTGTTAAACAGAATTGTAGACAGAAAAATAGATCAGAGAAATGAATATAGGAGAGATGCTCAGATGGATAAGTGGATTAACGAAAGAATATAGGTTGAGGAATTAGCCTATACGAGTTAGTTTAGTTGTGGCTACGATAGTAGACAAAATGAAAGAGAATAGATTAAGATCGTTGAACATAT